TTTCACTTTTATTCTAACTTTTTCTTCCTCTCTTTCTTTTATAGAACAGAATATCCCCCCCCCAAAAGATAAATCTGTTACTGCTGGGCAAAGAAGAATAAAGTTGTGTTTTGAATGTAATGAAGAACCTGGTTTTGTCTAGAAAATAAATTAGGTTTTTTGAAACTCATTTAAACATGAAATGCACACAGTTACTATTCGTATTTACCTTAATTTATAAGGTAAATAACTTAATTTATAAACTAAGGTAAATAAGAATAGTAACTGTGTGCATTTCATGTTATACTACAATATAACATCACTCAGTTCCCAGTTTCTGACACTTTTTTTCTCTTATATTCTGGTATTTTGTTCAACTTTGTTTTCAGGCAGCACAGTGAGAAATATTAAAAAAAAAATCCAGATTTGCAAACGAATGAAAGATTTCCTTTAAAAAATTATTATTATTTTTTATCTGTTAGAAGCAGTTCAGGAGATGAAGTCTACTTCGTTTCTGAAAACATAAACCAATATTCACAGCTGTTCTAATCTGATTTGCAGTGTTCCCCCATGCACATCCCTGGGACAGGAGAGAGGGAAGGTGCTGACACACCCATGACCAAGGTCTAATTCTGGTTACATTTTGGAGGTTCCACTGCAATTCAGAAAGCATCACTTGTTGAATATGCAGCCTATTAAAATCACTTGCCATAAGAAAGGGCTTATTTGCCTACAGATAAAAACAAGAATTAAAACAAAGATTCCGGAGAACAGCATCAAGGAACTGCAAGGTTGCCTCTTTAGGAGGAGCAAGAAAGAATGCCAAAGACAATGTTGTAGACCCCTCTGCAGCTTACAAATGATTTTTATCCACCAGGTAATTTTTGTAACTTTTTATTTCATATGTTGCCAATTTGCCTATCCTTTAAATCAGAGTAGCTTGAGGCCTGTGAAAGTCCAAGAATGCACTTTAGTAATGAGGTTCTTCTTGATAGAAAGAGTGTACTGGAATCACACTAAAATTAAATTTTTAAAAAATCTGAGTTTTTTTCCTTTTTAAAATTCCATTATAAAAAGCAGTACCTTAAAGTAGAATTTATTGAATAATGCAATGTATTCTAGGAATTACATATGAAAGCCTTAATTAAACATCAAAGAATTACACCACTGGCTTGTTCTTAACATATGTGCTTTGTAATCTCTAGAACATGTTCAAGTAAAGAGAAAAGCAATTTGCATGAATCCCATCTCATTTCCTTCTCCCAAAGTAACCATTGATTTATAATTTGAGTGATAATATGCAGCTAAACATTAATGTTTCAAATAACTTTTACTTATCTACAATGTCTATAATAGACAGCAGGTTCTCTAATTACCATAAAGCAGTACACTTAATATTCTTTAAAATGCAACACTTTTTAGATTGTGCTTTTCCTTCCTTTAAAAGAACGCTAAGAATTTGGAAGGGTACATGGAGAGGATCACTTTTTTATTTGATGAATTGAGTTTATTATAAAATGGCTCCAAAGACCAAATGAAAAATATCTGAGATGGCAGAAGGCAGGATATTAATGTATTGATATCATCTGGATAATAATACAGTGTGTTCCTGAACTTAGAGTCTTCAGAAACTCTGACAACTAAAATGACTATGTTTTTCGGGTATCAAAAAGTTATGGAGGACATTTAGATTTTAAAAGGTGTCCTTAGAAATAGGTGATATGTACACACACACATGTGACTGCTGCGCCCTGATGAAGCTGCAGAATACATCCACAAGGATCAACTCTCTTCTGACAGAATTTGCTCTACAAGGAGTAAGTGGGTCTGGAGTACTCCCATGGTAGCTCCATACTTCGCAATGCAGGAAGCAACAATGCAAAATATGTGTAAACATCTCAGCTGTCCACAGATGCCAGAGCAGCCCTTGAGGCACAGGGTAGCTTGTGTTCGTGGCTACATCAATACACCAAACAGGGAGGCATGAAGGTTCTCCACATCACCTTTGCCCTTTTCTTACACCTTCAGGCTAAGCACAAGCCCAAATTTGTTGCTGCGATGTGTTTGCATTGTGGTCGAGTTCTTTAATACTGAGTGCATTCCAAAAACACCCCTCTTTTCACTGTTCTCAAGGGTTAATTCAATAAACAAAACACAATAAAAGCTACTGGAAAGTCTGGAGCAGGAAGGAAGCTGACTTACTGCTCCTTGGTTTCCCATGCTGCCAGTGTAATAAATTGCCATTTTCAACACGGTGGCTGCAGCTGGCTTAGAATTTAACTTTTTTTTGTTATTTTTAAAATTATTACTATTACTAAGTAATTAAGATGTAGCACATCAGTCCTAAAAGCATGAGCCCTTCTAGTGGGAGAAGAAGGGGGCCAGAAGACTTTCATTGCTGATCCACTCATTGTGAGAGGGTTCTTCTTTGAAAGTATCATCTAAGATGATCACTGGGGGTAGAGGAAAACACCCATCCTAGGAAACATGATAACAAATTTGCCTTTAATGTCTGTAAGGACTGGAATCTGACTTTTTAATTTAAAAGAAAACCCAGTGGATATTTTTAAAACTGCCAGCACTTTATGCCAATTTTTTTGGTGATTCCTACTTGCCTTGCCCTACCGGGCACTTAAGCTTGTGTATAGGAATTCCTCATATATCTTACTCATCTTAATATGGCTATGCTTTCCCTCCTTTTTTTTCTGTATGCAATTTTTGCTATGTACTGTCCACCTGGTTTGCTAAACAGATAAAATATTTTTTAAAAGGTGTGTGTTATACTGAAGTATGTTTTTTCCATAAGCTTATTTCACTTGTCACTCCATATACTGCATAAAATCTTCGATCATTACCTAAATTTTAATTAAAAAGTAGTTCAAGACAAGAGCTGAAGTACCACTTAATTGATTTTAGATGGCAGACTTTATTTTTATGTAGATTTTTCTGGGTATGGGTATGAATAAAATCCATGACTGGGAAGAAAATGACACTGATTGTGCTTCAAGTTTTCAGAGCACTGAATAATTGAACTTGTATAGTGTTTCTCTTCAGGTCTGTAGAGACACACAGACCTGACCTGAGGATGCAAATTCTATAAGGGGATCATTTTTGAAAGCAGTATTTTAACTTCTACTCGTGCAATTGCCAACATGTTCACAGGGCATTTAACACTGGGGTTTTTTTTAAAGATACGAACTAAATTCACATTGTTTGTACCAAAAGGACTTGTTCCTTTATTGAGCAGATTTTTATACCACATGGAAGAGCAGTATCTTGTTACTTGAAAGCTATGCCTTTGCTTTACCAAATATTATGTGCCTCTGGGACAGGAAGAAAGCCTGTGCAACAGGTTTCGGCACCCTTGCTGGCATGTTCAGACAAATCAACTTGTTGTGACGAGTTGTGCTTGGTCTTCCCAAGGGGAGCTAGAGGGGTGTGGATTCCATAACAGCACCTCACTTTTTCTCAGTGGATGTCTTTGATTTGTAGCTATTTGAAGGGATTTTCTTTACAGACGCGATGCTCCCTCTCCAGTCTCTGCACTCGCATAGACCTCGTGTAATGTAAGCCTACACCCTTCTCCTTACAGTTGGTAGCTGAAACAGCAGAAAGCTGTTTAAATCTCCCTGGCAAAGGCTCTCCTCAGTCTCACCCACACTGGATGCACATACATGGTCTCCTGGCCCTCAGACCCATCTGTCAGGATGGCATGCTGCCCATCCTCAGCCTTGTGAGATAGATTCCCTGCAGCACAGACACAAAGCAAACACTGGGTTTAGGGCAGGCATTCTATATGGAGTGGCAAATAATGCCTGTTATATGGGAAATAACACCTTTGGGCTATCAGCAGCACCATATGTTTATTTAGCCTATGTGTGTTATGTAGATACATGTCATGGGATATGTGGATACAAAAGACATGAGCCAAAATATTTGCACCTGGAAGCATAAAATTAGACTCCTATGTATGTATGTCTGTGTAGAGACATATATATACACACATATATGTGTGTGTGTCTTGTTTTGCAAAAAGCAGAATGCCCTGCAGTCAGTCCCCTGGATGAAAACAGACACACACTCCCACCTTCTAAAAATCAAACCAGTTGCAAATATGCACTTGAGAGACATCCAGAACAGTGGTTTTTTTAGCAAGAGCCTCTCCTTTAGCCCCACGCTTTTGTTGGTTATTTCTGGTACTGCTGTGGATAAGACTTCCATATGGAAGTGAGAGTTTGACGAAACAGGCTCAGTCTCCTGAGTGCAGTCAGGCAGTGCAGCAATGCCTGCAGGGAGGTGGCATTTACTGCTGTGGAATTGCTTCTGGAGCATCACTTCAGGAGCACACAGGCTGATTCACGCTGTCTTGTTCAAGATTGTGAGGCTCCAGCAAACTTTCTCTTCAGAGTTTTGTGCACAGCTGCTCTCTGTGCACTCTCAGTGTGAGGTCCTCTGACTTGTTGCTCTGTGGGAGGGTGGGTTAGTGTTTGCTGGAAATGTGGGCTCAGTGATGGCAGTGTGCTGGCGGCAGAACAGCAGGAGGTCTTGCACACATCCACTGAGCCAAACAAAGGTCCCGTTGTGGGAGGGCAGCAGCTTCAGAATATACAGTTTGTCATCAGCAATTATCTGGGTGTCATAACTGAAGATCTGCCACAACACCTACAACCCCAAAACACAGTGTGTCTCTGGCACATGGTCAATTTTTTTATTATTCATTATTACTCTAGATTCCCTTTGCTACAGTCTGAGTAGGTAAAGGGTCTGTACACCACCACATATAATGGATGTAGACAGTTCCCCAAGCACTAATAAATGTTGGAAAATGTAAAAGAGCAACAGAATGAATGAAAATGCATCCCATATATCTTTCTTTGTATTCATGGTTAGACCTCATAGTATTGTGTGAATTCCTTATTGTTTTAAAGAGTCCTTTTGGAAACACATAGAGGTCCATTTATACCTTGAGGGTTCATTAGGGGCTGCTTCTGAATAGAGAAGAATGGCAATTGGTAGCTGGTAGTATTTTAAAATTTTTCTCTTTTCCAACATTCATTTAAAAGAAGAGGTTTATTCATGGATTCAGTTAAATTCACCAGGGATAGCTACACAGGAGAAGGGACTGAAAGCTCCAATTCACTTTAATTTGTCTATTTGCTTACAATCTGTATTGGAATGCAGTACCAAAGAGACAGACTTTTTTAATTCATGAACAAACTTTTTGAATTAAGTACATTTGAAAAGACACATTTAGCTCTGAGGCCAGACCATTACAAGTTCTGGTTCTAGTAAAAGACTGGCACGGTTCTTTGTTATAAAAACACTGCCAAATGAAGTTCTTTGTGGGTCTAGTGTGGCAGAAAGTGGAAATATAAAATTCTGTGTTTCACACCACAGGGGCATTGAGTACTCTTTGACATCATCAGTGGGCTTCTGCTCAGAGTTTGCTGTTGGACTGAACTGTTCTGATGGGACTGACATCAAACAAATGTTAAATCTCTGCGAATTCAGTCAGGGCTGGTGTTTGAGTGTTTTGCTGATTCATGCCATGAGAGGGCTAGCAATCCAAAGGAAATGAACGCAGACAATTAAGAAAACAGGGAAGAGGAAGCATTCAGCATAAAACTTCAGTAGATACTGCATTCAACAACATCAACTCTACCTATAGCCAAAGGATGACAGTAACACTTAGTATGGTGTTCATTTGGCAGGTTGCAAATTTGATCACAAATTCAACACATAGCCAAAACCTAGGTAATCTCTGGAGTCCAGTTCACACCTCTGGGTTACCACTTATACTCTCACCTCAAGTGATCTAGAGAATCTAGGGGTTTTTCAAGGCCCAGGCTGCAACAGCTGCCATACAAAAGTTCTCAACTCCATCTTCATCCTAAGCAATGGATTTGCTGTGCAGTCAATCCATTTGCTACAGGTCTGGGGCAAAAATGTTCATCCTCAACTGAGCTGATGCCAAAATGTCCTCATCCTGCCCTCCTAACCATGCAGGGCCTCTGGAGCATTCCTTTACTCCCCAAGAGTTAGGAATTAGTGAAGCCCTTACTGGTTGCGTGATCAACTGGGTCTTTCTTAACCCAGAAAAAACAGATTGCAAATTGGCCCAGCTCTATATTTATTGGTGTAATCCCTGCATGAACCATCAGAATTACATAGCTTCCTCTTTCTTTTTCTCAAATGCATGATCTACAACCAACCATATCTTTACAAAGGAAGTTGTGTGCGCCTCTTTTAGAAAGCACCTGTTGTTTGATAGATCTCAAATACTATGTATGTATTTATGTAAATATCTATCTATCTATCTATCTATCTATCTATCTATCTATCTATCTATCTAATCTATCTATTGTCTATCTCAGTTGTAGTTTTATATTGTTTCATTTTTTGCCAGCAGAGAAGAAGAGTGATATTTGCTGTATAGCATATAAAAGTATGTGGTCATAATATTTGATACATGATTCTCTGGATGATAAATATATTAAACTAATTAATTATGACCTATAGTTACAAACTGACCTGCCAGTTTAAATAAATGAGCACTGCTGTACTTAAATTTTTATTATATTTTCATATTATCCTTTGGCCAAGGAAACCTTTCTGAAATAAAAATATGAATAAAATGTATAGCACTTTGTCCAGTTTTATTTTCTTCAGTTATATTACATGGCATATGTTATGTGCTATTTGTCCATCTAATTTAACAGCTAAAAGAAATAAGCAAGATTTCTAAGTTGTGTTTATCCCTGCTAGCAATATTCCACAGTCTGCTGTCCCATAGGAGTTTTTCTCTGGATGTTAAAATAACGGTCTTCTTGTATATAAATGAAATATTTGTAGTTGTAGAAGGATGTAATAATTTCCTAAATATGCAAATTAAATAACCACTTTAGCCTTGCTAAGGTACAGAAAAGATGGGATAAGAAGTGTCTTTATATCTGTGTGTCCTCACTGATGTGTGAGCATCTCAGTGCAGAGTTGTTCCTATTAAAAATCTGCATTTCTCTGCAGCTCTTCAAAAGACAGAGCCAGAGAACTGACTTATGTCCTTCTGAAAACCTCTCACTCTTCTCTTTAAGAGAAATGTCTGTATTTTGAGCCCTGAATAAATTTAAGCCCTTAATTATTAAAACTTTTTTATTTAAGTAAAATGATTGTTTTAAAGTTTTCCCATATCAACTGAGTACCAACATGGATCACAATCAGATGTATTTGCTACTGGGCTGAATGTGATATTTTGTTTAAGCCTTTGTAGTGATAGTATTTGTTTTGGGAGTTTTGTCCTCCTTGGTAATGGTGCCAGCTCCCACTCTGTAACCACTAACTTTTCTTCCCTATTGAGTTCCTGGGCTGTGCCAGATGTCTGGAGCAATACACTGCACTGCATGGATGGATGGATGGATGGATGGACGGATGAAAGAATGACTGACTGAATGAATGATAGTCTTTATGTTTCACATTTCCATGTCTACACTGGTGTGGTCCTTGGGAGTGAGCAAGGAGAACAGTATAGACACAGACTGTGGGCACCACTTGTTGAAGACAATCTAATAACAGGCATATCTGTGTATCATAAAGTTCAGTACTTTATTTACTGCCTTACCTCTCAAACAGCAAGGTAATTTTGTGTTTATGCAAAATGGTTCTAAATGTAAAATGAGTACAAACTTCTAATTCAATATGTTCCTGAAAGCTTGCACGAGACAAGAAATTTAACTCATAACTTATCTGTTCAGAATGACCGTACTTAAAGGCTAATACTCCTAGCCTTTAAGTGCTGTCATCTGCACTGCCTTGGTGTCAATTCAGAGGCCATTGTCTTCAAGAAAGCCCAGAAGCATGACCCGAAAATACAATATTTTCTGAGTGTGCACTCCCAAGTCCAGCAGCATCATGAAAAGACAACACTAGCCAGCTCAGTCAGGCAGAGATTGACATACCTGCTGTGTTCTTTGCCACGGGCAAGGCTAGGTTAATTACATCCATGATAAAGTGAGCTTCTGCTGATATATGAGGGCAGAACACACATGTCAGAACTATCATTAACACAGGTGTGAAAGAGGCATTTCTTGCTGGCAGAGTCTGGCCAAGTAGATCGAATGCATTCCTCCAGAATTAGCTTTGTCACCTTCCCTACAAATTGTTGACACACTTTGAATTTTCACAAAATAAATTATTAAGAAGAATTGCTATGCAGTGCAATAGGCATGAAGGCTCCTCAAAGTCAGCAGAAAAGAGGAAAGGTGGCAGAGAAAATCACTGTTTTCTCATTTTTATCATAGCTTGATAATTGGATAAGAAATAAGTCTGGCAAAATATCTGTTGCTTTAGACATTGAGACAACCCTTGTGCTGGTAAAAAGGGTGATCTAAATCATGACATTGACAGAAATGAATCAAAGAAGTCATGATTAAGTGTCAAACTTGCAGTTTATGATTACTAGTAATGTGCAGTACTATAAAAAAGGTAATAGCTGGTACTAGCAGACAGGGTTAGAAAGGGTAGGGTGAGATTATTACAGTCAGGAAGGGAGGTTGTTGCTATGTAAAAGCAGCATATCAGGGAAAAATGCAAACTGAGATGCCTTCCTCATTTTATCATCTTTAGAGAGTCAAATTAAAGAAAAAAGGCTAAAAGATGCAGGTTTCTTTGATACAGCAAGGACTGTTTCAGCTTTGGAGAAAATGTTAGAAAGCTGATATATAACCTATTTCTATGTTTGGCATTCTTAATATCTGTTGTTATTATTTTAAAAGTATCATTTGAGCAGCTGTCTCTGCAGCATGGCAGATGAGGATGCCACCCAGTCCTGAAAATCACAAAGTTTCTTTTCTTCAGGAATGTGGAGTTGCTTGGGATATCCAACTGGAGCTCAAGAAGGTCAGCCAGCCTCTGACTATCTGCAGCAGTCTGAGCTCTTCACCTCTCCTCTCTCTTCAATCTTTTCTACTCATTTTGAATAGAGCTAAAAAGGCTGTATTTTGAGGAGGGCTCATCTAGAGACACCAACTGTTACTTTGCTTTTTTTTTTTGGTGTTTTTGTTGCCTTTCAGTTAATTCACTGAGCTAAGTATGCTACAGACATCTAACATACAATCCTGTTATAAAATGAGGAGTTATTGAGGCATTCCAGCAGCTTCCAGAACTGGTGTGATGACATGTGAATACTGTAAGAAAAAGCAAAAGGGGAAAACGATGTGACTTTTTATCATCCTGCCATTTAGTGTGGACAGGTTCTAAATGGTTTGGCTCAGCATGTAAGCTGCCAGTGATTTCCTTCCTGTATCACTCCTCTCAGGTGCTTCTGCTCCATCATAAATGCTGTTATGAATGGCCAGGCATTATTTCTCACTATACCACAACACTGTTTTAAAGTATGAACTTGAAATGCATGTATGATCACCTGTTCTGTGTTCTCTGTATTTCTCTTCAGTGATCAGTTGTGACAAATTACAGATGGTCTGATAACAAAATTAATTGTTAGCATTTCAGACAATTCTCTTTTTCCTTACCTCATATCCTTAGGCTCTTTCTAAAGGAATCAGTCTACTGTCAAGACAGGTATCTGGAATCGAAGTGATTAGTGAATCAATTTTTGTGGCAACTTTTGTACTTTAAAACAAGTATTTAAAGTAGTCTGGACTTCTCTCTCATTGTGAAAGAATTTCTTTCTGTTTGTGATTTCCTGCCATAAGAGATTTCATGCAGATAATGGTTTTCAAAGAATGCAATTGCTTGCGCAATTTGAGACCATAACTTACTAGTTTTTGTTTCCTGTCCCAGCCAAGAACAATAACGAAAGCTTAACAGAAACCTAGCAAATTATGGGCTGCTTTATCCTTCTGCTGCTGAGAAACAAAAATATTAGCATAGTATAACAAGCATCAACTCAGTCAAAATAACGTTATTAGTCACTGACCTGCTTTCCTTATCTTGCATGTTACATATTCTCAGAACACTTGAGATCACAGGGTGGAGCTTCACATAGTGATGGGATTTCTAGGACAATGCTTCTGGTCAGACCAAGACACAGCCATATGCCAGATGTCAGGCTTCAAGACAGGCTTCTGGTTTACCCTATATTTCTGTCAGTCCCAAACAATGGAATCAGATTTTTAACTGTATGGTCAATACATACATTGTCAGCTTTATAAATATACTATGGATTATTTTTTCATATGGGCTAACCCTAAGTGGTTTTGTATTCAAAGCCTGTGTTGCCCTCAGTCTGAGATATTGCTGTTCAGTGAATAGTTTCACACATCTACTCCTGGAAAATCAAATAGAATTATGAAAAGGAATTGCTCATGGATTTCAGTTCTGCATAAGTGTTTCATGTGAGTTGTTTGTCAAACCTTCAATGCTTCATTAATATTCAAGAACATTTATACAATAAATTATGGCCTCTAAACATTTTATATTAAATGTTAATATAATCAAATATCTACACTTTTTCCCCTGATACTACCCTGAAATACAGTGTTATACTTAGTGGAGTGTTTTATTATGATGATAGCAATTTCCTAAAGGTATGCTGGCATTATTAATATGCATTTTTATTCTAGACATATAAAGAAGATCTTAGTTGGTTAATAATAAGGAATTAATATTAAACTCACCAAGACTCAATTTTTATTTTCAAAGCTGTCTTAGTCTAGGGAATAACAAATTATTCAAGTAGAAAAACAGAAGTGATGTCAATAGTAGCAACTATAAGACAAATTGAAGAAACAAATTAACAGAAACAGACAAAATAGCAGACAGAATCACATATTCATGTAAGCTTTGTTTTGTTATGGTTATGTACTTTGTATCAGCAATTCTGAGTGCTAGAGGTTAGTGAAATGTACAATTAACAGTAGGGTTTCACACTTACCCAGCTTTCTTGTATAAATTCTCGTAGAAATACAAACTGTAAAGAGATTTGTACACAATTTTGGCTTTTGAGGCAGTCTTTTTATGTTCTTATTTTAGGAAAAAAGGTCTTATGAGTATGATAATCACTTATCAGCCAGCGCTTGATTTCCAGTGGGTTTACAATTTGGTGGTATGGAGCATCTATGATGTTTTCTTCTCAGTGGAAAGCATGAAAGATGTGAGGAAGGAAATCTTTCCTTCTCCATTCTTGTTTCTGGTTTTGAGTGTTTTATTTCCTTCCCAAATGATTTCCTCCTGTTTCTCACAAAAACATTTTCTAGAAATATCCTTTCCCATTAGACATGTGGCAGAGAGTCTGCTGTCATTAGCTCATCAGCTTTTACTTTCTGCTGGACTTCACAGTCTCGTGTCCCCAGGTCATTCCACTTCTGTCTCTACACACTCACTAAAGGGAGAAGCTGTGAGGGGAAAATGGGGATTTTCCACTCCCTGCATGGTCCTGAAGGAGACAGAACAACACATGGAACTGTGTAGGAGGATACAGTATGTGTAAATGAAGGTGGTATAGAAAGTAATCTTGCCCCCTAAAGAGTTGCAGCTGGGCCAATTACTAGAGATTAGGAGCAGGCCTGATTTTAACAGGCCACAGCTGAAGCCAATCAGAAGAGTGTTATAAAAGAGTGGATTGGTTGGTTGAGGAGAACTGGAGTCTGTTGGCTGCTGTGAGGATGAGGAAGAGTTGGTGCCTGGAGGAGCTGCCTACAAGAAACATCAAGGAGGTATGAAACACTAGCAATATATAACCCTTGCAATGTAATGGCAATAGAGCTCTTGCACTATAATGGCAGCAGAACTGCACAATCAGCCAGAAGGGGTTCCTGTTTGAGCCCCAAAGCTTTGTACCAAAGGAGAAGACAGCAAGAAACTTGAGTAATTTGTTGTGGGACAAAGCCACCGTAGCAGGGGAAATTGCTGCCTTTGGCTGGCTTTCCAGAAGGTACAGCAGACACAGGGAAGGTGTCAACCAGGAGTTTGTCCAAGTCCTAAACAGATTTATTGATAGGTGAGAAAGTTCAGAATTATGAGACACTCCCAGAGGACCTGGACTGATGGTAGCCTGGGTTTATACCAATTACCATACCTGCAACAGAGGCAGGCATGATGTGCATCCTGCAAACTAACAGCTGCCTGCATTCATATTAGGGTTCTTCCCTAGAGTATTATCCCATCCATCTGTTCAAAAAGACAGTGATATGTTATACTCATTATAGGTGAAAAATTTGCTGGTAAGCATAATACAGTGCATGAATCACTGAATATAAAACAAGTTTGCAAACAATGGTTCAAAAAAAAAAAATTCTACATTAAAACATTGTATTCTAAACCCACAACTTCATCTTTGAGATTAGCTGCATTTCTCCAAGAAAATGTGGGGTTGGAGTCTCTTCCCTTTGTGTTGAGTCTGTTACACTGAGGGAATTAGTGGTCTACATTTAAATGATCTGTATGGAGTGAAGCTTTCAGAAGTGTCTCTTTTGCTTGCTGCCCAGGGGTGGCTTCCTTGAGAAGTTGCCACAGACTTTCCCCATGTCCTACAGAGCCTATGCCAGGATGGACCTGCCACTGGCCAAGGCTGAGCACACCAGTGATGGTGGAAGCACCTCTGGGATAATATACCAGAAAAGGGAGAAAAACTCCTGTGCTGCAGCAAGTGGAGAGAGAAGTGAGAATATGTGAGAGGAACAGTCCTGCAGACACCCAGGTCAGTGCAAAAGGAGGGGAAGAGGTGTTCCAGGCACCTTGGAACACTTGTATTTTGTGAGGCAGCTGTGCTCCTGCAGCCCATGGAGGTCCATGGGGGAGCAGTGACCAACCTGCAGCCCATGGAGGACCCCACACTAGAGCAAGTGGGTGCCCGAGGGAAGGTGTGGGCCCCTGGAGAAAGGAGCCCACACTGGAGGTGGTTTGCTGACAGGACTTGTGACTCTCTGGGGGACCCATACTGGAGCAGCCTATTCCTGAAGGACTGTACCCTGTGGAATAGACTCTGTGCTGGCGCTGTTCCTCAGGAACTGCAGCCCATGGAAAGAAAGCACATTGGAGAAGTTTGTGGAGGACTGTCTCCTGTGCCAGGGACTCATTCTGGAGCAGTGCAGGAGTGTGAGGACTCCTAGCCCTGAGGAGAAAGGAGCAGCAGAGACAATGTGTGATGAATGACCTCAGCCCTATTCCCTGTCCCCTTGTGCCAATAAAAGGAGGCAAAGAAATGAGGAGCAAAGTAAAGCCTGGGAAGAAGGAGGGAATGTGCTTTTAATTTGGTTTTAATTTGGTTTTATTTTTTTATTATTTTACTGCTAACAAACTAATTCCCTCCAGTCAAGTCCATTTTGCCTGTGATGGTAACTTGTGAGTGATTTCTCCCTGTCCTTATCTTGACCAACAAGCCTTTGGTTGTTGTTTTCCTCCCCTGTCCAGCTGAGGAGAGGAGTGATGGTGTGACTTTGATGGACCCTGGATGTCCAGCCAGTGCCATCTGCACATCATGGTCACTGTGGCTGGCACTCTCTGATGGTGGCTGCAGCCTCCTGAGGGACCAAGCCTGAGGATGTGGCTTCTGAATCAGGAGGTTTAGAGAGCATTTCTTAGCAGAAGGGATTTTGTCATCGTGGTCAGAAAAAAGAAGCATAGTACAAACTGACTTGCGTTGCACGCAAAAGACATTGCAGCCACTGGTGCAGATTAGACTCTATTAATTTTACAATGTGCTAATCCAAAATATGTTAATCCAAACTGTAATTCCCAGTCTGCTGAGACAAGAATTGAATTCCAATTTCATAGCTAGACAAGTGAAGTTGGGAACTATAGGAAAAGTTTGATTGCAAACAACACTTTGTAGTTTAGTGTCCTGGTTCCCTCAATATTACAGAATCTCTCTGGGACAGGAATCTTCAGCAACAGCATCTTGGTAACCTCTATGCTGCAGTGCAAGACAGAAAGCTGATTCCTCTTGAGCCTTTTGTAGATTTTTAATGTTTGTGGTGACCAAGTCATGCTAGCCCCTTTCCCAAAGGCTCTTGGAAGCTGTCTCGGGGAGGCGAACTGCATACCTCCCAGGGCCATCAGAGGCAGGGCAGCATTCCTCTGCTCCCAGCCCTCACCCATCTGTCCCACATCAGCTGGGGGATACTAAAATAAATCGGGAGTGGGCTGATGCACAAGCTGTGTTACAGAAGGTATGTCCTCCCAGGAAATGTGTAAACAAATATTTGAAAGATCTAAAAATATGAACAAAGATGTCTCTGTGGCAAACAACGGCCCTTCAAAAGTCTGTGGCACATGTTCTACATACAGTTGCTAGGTAGTGAAGTTAAATTGCTAAATAAAATTTGTGTTAAATAGCCAAAGCTATACAGTCTTCAGCCTGAGTGTAGCATCCTTAATAATAAGTTTAGTTTAACATCTTGTTCAGTTTTGGTGTGGCCTCAACTGTGTAATGTATTAAATATATGAAAAATAAATATTATTGCAAAGCATCCACTTACTCCTACATAATGTTCTCCTTCAGTCTGGCCTTTGCTACTGAAAAAATCAGGCTTACATCTGTAATATTGTTCAAAAAGTTGGAAGTGCTGCTGAAGATGGTTATATCTGCCTTGAGTTCTGTCTAGTGCTAAGCACTTGTAAACTTCCTGCTTCAGCACCAGTAGTTCTCCTCTCTCACTGTGCTTGGTCAGTAAAGTCAGTGAGCAGCACAGTGTCAGGACAGTGCTATAGCATTTTCATTTGGCTGGTCTCTAATAACAGCATTTCTCCCAATTCAAGCATGCTAACTCATATCCTGTCCCTCTTGCTCTGTCCAGGACCTTCTGATGTTTATGCCTCTTTTCCCTTGTGCTGAACCTCTGCCCAGTTATGTGTCATGAGCAGCCTCTGCTCCCTTGCAGCCACATTTCCTCCCCTGGCCAGAGATCGGCATATAAGGAATGAAGTCACTCCCAGCCATTACTGGTCTCTGTGGCACACAGCTCTTCATGTTGCTCTAGCCCAAATTCTTTTTCTACACTCGTGCTCTCTGCCTTTGCTCTCCAACCTAGTCCTTTATCTGTGCAATTAATGTGTCCTTACAATATTTAATCACCTACTTTGTAAAGAGATCTTTAGCAAGCTTTTTAAAGGGTTTGTAAGGCAAAAGGCCTCCATAGGACCAGGCAGAAAAGGAGCACAGTTGCTCAGCTATATTTTTTAAAAAGTCTGATTTATCGAAGATGAACTCTTTTCTGTTACTCTCTGTGAATTATCTCAATTTAAAGTCTAACTTCCTGGGGGCTTCTTGAGTTTCTCTCTAATCAGTACTTTGTCCTCTTTGTTCTCATATGACCTTCCTTAGCAAAAAAGAACTGATCAGGATTTTAATGATGTTTTAGGGTTTTCTTTGCATGGTCACAGCTATGTAAATGCATAAATACTGGTTTTTCTCTGTTAAAATTTGATATGTTTCATTTTTTAAAGGTTTCCTTTAGCAGCTGGAAAGCAATTGCATGCAAACACTTTTATATAATATAACCTTATTCTAGCTATCAGTTTTCCCCATTAAAAGGATCTCCACCCCTCATGAGCAATGCTGTTTAATTTCAGGGTTTCCTCTCATCTTTCTCAGCATAGACGATTCTGGATCAGTCCACCTCTGGTGTTCCCATTGCTCTGCTGCCTCTCCTCTCCTCAGCTGTTTGTACTTTCTTAGCAGAGAACCCGTGAGGAGGGACAGGAGGATGTGTTCTCACAGCACTGCTGCCTCTCTAAATTTTTATGAATGCTTTGCACTCCTACGACATCACATTTACTCAGCATAGCCCACACCACCACCAAAGGGCATGGGAAAACCAGACACTTGATCTTCTGCCTTCAGGAAACTGGATAAAGTTTTCATTTGTTTCTTTTTAAAAAGAGGTCAGATTGATAACTGCAACAGCAGCTTAGTTTCTCTTTTAGAAAGTAGGTTCCATGAGTTACTTATCTCCCTGTGAGACAAACTTTATTCATGGAAAAATTCCTATTTCTGTGGTTGACCATTACACCTTCTATTTCCAGTTGCCAATTCTTGACCTTTTGATCTACATCACAATTATAACATTTCTTTTTTATTACTGTTTAGACCTCCTGTCTTGGTGTATAATTTTTCTCAATATTAATTTTTTTCTCTTCTGAGAAATAAATGCACACCTGAGGGAATATCTTCTTATAATGCACATTTATATATATATATATATATATATATATATATATGTATGTATTATTTAATAACATTAAGCCTTCTGTAAAATACTGGTTTATAACCAGGTAGAACATAGAGTAGTTTCAGCTGCTTACATCACCCAGGCAAAAGTCACAGAAAACCAATTACAGCTCAGTTTGTGGTTTTGCCTGACCACTCGTGTGGGATGCTAAAAGAAATTAAATATTCTTTTATTTCTTCACATTGGTTATGATTGCTGTTGTGGTGGGTAATGAGTCTCTGCAGGCCTGCCCCTCTGCTTCCCCTCTGTGACTGATG